AATTTATAAACTTGTTTAAACAAATCGAGTAAAAGGTCTGTCAGTTTTGACTTCAATGTCAAAAAAGCTTATCCTCAGCATGGTGTGGGAATGATCCGCAATCAACAACTAATACTTTGGTAGGGCTGTGTATTGAACGCGTTCTTCTTGCCTAAGAAGTGAAACTTTCTCTAGCGAATTCCATCAGACGAGAACTCCAACTCCAACCTAAGTGTAGAGTTTTTTAATGGGATCTTGAATTCCGGAGTGAATAAGAGCATTTCCGTCTTGCTAAGAATGACGGTGAGACCATAGTTAGGCACCTATTCAGCTACGAGCTAAACCGTAGGTACTTTTTTTGGGAATTGATAAAATACAAGTAACACTGGACCACAAATTTCAACTTTTTCTCTTTACCAGAAACGCCGTTATGAAATTCTTATGTAAAATCACCCCCTGATTCCGAATATCAAGGTTATTTTTAATTCTATGGTACCGTTTTTGAGATATTTGCAATTTACCGTTTTTGAAAAAAAAATAAAAAATTGGGTCCACTTTATCATATATATCTCAAACGAATTAAGCAATTCCAAAACGGTTTGAAGCTTTTAAAAGGTAATCAAATTTTCTATAAACTGTGCATACAACACTTTTTGCTAGACCCTGTAGATTCAAAGATAACGAACAATCATTACCGATTTTTTCAATTTTTTTTGTAAAAATATAAAAAAAATTGTACTTTGCGGGGAAGGATCTCGAAAACCTTTTATTTTTTTGCAGATTTTCTTTTTCTCCCTAAGCTCTGTTGTATTACAAAAAAAATAAGCTATCATCGAAGAAAATCGATGCAAAACTACGTAAGTTATAAGCGATCAAATAAAAATACCCAGGTTGCGCAACTTCAATGTATGTACCTATACATACATACATATATTAAAGGTATAAAGTGCAAGTGAGATATTATCCGGATAAACGAATAACACCATAACAATGATAACACTTTTTCTTTAAATAAATCAAATAGTACTTTTAATACTCGAATTGTATTATAGTAGTAGAGTGGTTGCATCGAAAGGAAGAGTGGTTGGGTTCGAAACCTGCTGTAGGCATGTAGTTATAAACATGTATTTCCGTCAGTTATGGGTAAGTATGCAGTTAGATTTTCAAAATTATAAGACACAGAGAATTTCTAAAGCCTACATCTAAAACAGGTAGTATTTTCTTTTCCCGGCTTGTTATAAAAAGGAACCTTTCTGTCTAGGTAAGATTTGATTTTTTCAATTTTATTCTTGTTCCGAGTATAAATATGAGTTAATGCGCTTTGAAACTTCATAACATCTTCAAGGCTCGCCGGAGATAGTTCAGTTCATAAGTCTAATTTCAAAACCGTGATTTATTAAAAAAAATAAAATGAGTAAAAGGACGCGAGAATTTGAGTGTAATAAGGATCCAGATATGTTCTGTTTCATGTGTGGCCAATATACTATCATAAGGCGACGACGAGTGTTCTCAGATCATATCAAAACTTTATACTCCAAGTATTTTGGAATTGAGCCTAAAAATGCTGAAAAACCATGGACACCGAACACTTTGTGTACATCGTGTCGAGTAGAATTGATTCAGTGGGAATCAGGACAACAAACAAAATTTGATACACCAATGATATGGAGAGAACCTACTTGCCATTCAATAGAGTGTTATATTTGTCAAACAAAAGTACTTGGCGTTGGAAGATCAACAGGAGTAACCTATGCTAGCGTACCTACAGTGACATTACCAGTACTACATTCAACGGCAGTTGCGGATCCAGTTCCATTGTCAACAGTAACATCTGAGTGCGGGGGATCAAGTTGTACTGAATTTCGCATGGAAAACGAAAGAAACGTTCTGTCACAAGCACAACTTAATGATTGGATAAGAGATTTGGAATTATCCAAGGAAAAGGCCGAGATCCACACTTCTCGTATGCAACAATTTAAATTTGTGTCATCCGATGTTAAGGTGACATATAGTAGAACTCGTCACGAACCATTTTCCAAACACTATACCAAGAAAGACAGTATATGCTACTGCAACGACATCCTTGGTTTATTCAAAGAGTTTGGTCAAACATATGATTCAAAAGAGTGGCGATTGTTCATAGACGGCAATAAACTGAGTTTGAAGGCTGTATTATTGCATATTGGTAACAAAAAGCCTTCTATCCCGATTGCACATGCAGTAAATAAAAAGGAAACCTACGAGGAAATGCAAAAAATACTCAAATTTATCAAATATGAAGAGCATGATTGGAAAATATGTTCTGATCTCAAAGTCGTTGCAATGCTATGCGGTCTACAAAGTGGCTACACCAAGCACTGCTGCTTCCTCTGCAAGTGGGATAGCCGAGCTCGTAAGGACCACTACGTCAGAAAGGATTGGCCGGAAAGAGTCGAGTTTACCGTTGGTGTGGATAACATCAAATACACCCCTCTTGTCAAGAAAGAGAAAATCATACTTCCACCCTTACACATCAAGCTCGGTCTCATTAAAAACTTTGTTAAGGCTTTGGACAAAGAAGGCGAAGCATTCGACTATTTGAAAACAGTTTTTCCAGATATTTCTCAAGCCAAGATAAAGGAAGGTATTTTTGTTGGACCACAAATAAGAAAGTTGATCAACAATAATCAATTCAAAGGACTACTCTCATCAGTTGAGGCAGCAGCGTGGGAATCCTTTGAAAAGGTCGTTGCTTCTTTTCTCGGTAGACACAAAAGCCCTAACTACGAGCAGATAGTGAACGACCTAATCAATAATTATGCGAAAATGGGCGTAAATATGTCTTTAAAAATTCACTTTCTCCACTCACATTTGAGCTTTTTTCCGGCAAATCTTGGCGACGAAAGTGATGAACATGGCGAAAGGTTTCATCAGCAAATGATATCAAGGATTCTGGGACGTCGCAATGATGGGTGATTACTGCTGGTTTCTCATAAGAGAAACCGATCCTAAACTGAATAAGCGTCAAAGTAGAACACATAATTATTTCGACAACATAGTAAAATCAAATTAAGATAAAGATTGTTAGAATATAGTATAAACATAAATAAATTTAAAAAAAAAGTTAAAAATATGGGTAATTTCATTCATAAATTGAACTTTTAACTCAATAGAAACAGAGCATAGCTAGATATTTCACTCTTCTTTATACCATACATACGTTTTGAGGTATACGTTGAAATTGCGCAACCTGGGTATTTTTATTTGATCGCTTATAACTTACGTAGTTTTGCATCGATTTTCTTCGATGATACCTTATTTTTTTTGTAATATAACAGAGCTTAGGGAGAAAAAAAAAATCTGCAAAAAAATAAAAGGTTTTCGAGATCCTTCCCCGCAAAGTACAATTTTTTTTATATTTTTACAAAAAAAATTTAAAAAATCGGTAATGATTGTTCGTTATCTTTGAATCTACAGGGCCTAGCAAAAAGTGTTGTATGCACAGCTTATAGAAAATTTTATTACCTTTTAAAAGCTTCAAACCGTTTTGGAATGGCTTAATTCGTTCTTGAGATATATATGATTAAGTGGACCCAATTTTTTTTTTTTTTTGCAAAAACGGTAAATTGCAAATATCTCAAAAACGGTACCATAAAATTAAAAATAACCTTGATTTTCGGAATCAGGGGGTGATTTTACATACGAATTTCATAACGGCGTCTCTGGTAAATTTTGGCCGTCGACCAGTGTAATTTTTAAGCAAAAAACAAAACCGACTTCAAATCTCATATACAAATTTACGAGTACCGTTTATTTTTTCACGATCCAATCGGATCTAAACTAGATTAGTGTGAGACCACCTCTGAGACACTACCTTACCGATGCTAAAAGAATTTTCGAAATCGGTTGACGTGGTCCACAGTTATGCGGTAACATATGTACATCAAAAAAAAAATAAATAAATAAAAATATTTCGACGAATTGCTAACCTCCTCCTTTTTTTGAAGTCGGTTAAAAATAGTTTCAAATTAGTTGAAAGTTTTCGGTATTTTATTGGGATCTTTTGCACTACTTTGAGATTTTTCGACCGTTTTGGGAATTTTTGTGCTCCGTTCAGAATTTTTCGTAAATTTTCAGGAATTTTCAAGTTCAAAGGCAATTCTGAACTTTTTTTGAATGCCTTCAAATTAAGCGAGAAAGTACCATTTTCTGCTAAAATGTATTAGAAATGTTGTGCATGCAAATATGTTATTAAGTAGTAAGTCATATTGAAGTCATTTGTTTCCTCAAGTTTTTTATAAGAACGCGGAGACTCGTTACGATTTCTATTCTTCAAAGCGTATGTGACGGAAATTATGATTGTATCTGCCGTAAAAAAGTGCAGCAGTTGGTTTGTTTTAACGTAGGTAAATTTTTTCGTGAAAACTTGCAGCTGTTGGCCAACCCAGCTCTGCTTATCGGTGTCCTAGATAAAGTGAAAACCATGAAAACAATAGATGTCATTCTTTCAGTATTCATAAAAATAAACTCCTGTCTGAATTACAATGCCATTATCTATCTACAGGTTATTTTTTGTGCATCTTCTTTTCAACAAGCGCTTCTTTCTTCCTGAATTCCTGAATTGACGTTCATTCAATGTTGAACACGACAGCGACAAATTGGAAATGTCAGCGACAATCATTTACGAACGATGTCGAATCGATGGCAACTTGAGTAAATTTCACTCAGCTGATAATCTGCTTAAAAGGGTTTTCATGTGCGCGTGTATGTGAAATGGCAGCTCATTAACAAACTCGAAAAAAAAATATAAAAAAAACGGTAACTAAAAGTAACGGAATAAAGGACATAACCCATTTGTGTAAAATATAATTAATATAGTACCAATGTGGTTCTGCTAATGGCATTTACTAATTTTTAATTGAAATTTACTTACTAGCGGAAATAAAATTTTACGAATACAATGGCAGACTGTAAAATACTTAAAAATTGGTATGCCAAGTGTATGTGTGAAAATTGGATAGGTAAGCTGTACGAATACTTACGAATTTAATTCCAAGTCTAAGCGAAACTTATGATTAAAGGCCTTAATTAAGAGTGAGGTGCGATGGAAGTGTTTCTGAAAAGAGAAGAAAATTGTTGGTGTTATTTGATGAAAGTAAATCTTTAAGTTTCTCTGAATAATCACTTTATCGAAAGGAAATTAATACATTCCTACACATGTAGTATATGAAAGTTATGTAAATGAGTTAGGAGAAAAAATACCAGCTCCTAGGTTGCTAAAAGATATACAAATTTCGTGTTTCTCCATATCTTCGATAAGCGGCTGATAAGTTTGCAGCTTGGATTTTTATATTTTTATTTATTTTTCCAATGTAATCCTTCTCTTATCCTAAATCGCATAGCATGGACGGGCGCATTGTTTTTCAGATACAGCGTTCTGCGCGCCAAACGCACGTTTTTTTTGCTCAGCAGCCTCACATGTTCGATTCAGTAAATTAGCCTAGTACTAGCCGCTCATTGCGATCACTTCAGCAGGTAATCAATTAATAAAAATTCCCTCGCTATAACTCTTTTATCGTGAAGCGAGTTTCCATACTACCCTAAATCTTATATAATGCTTACGGTGACCATCCGTCTTTTATTTTAAAGGACAATCCTTTATATTAACTCTCTGTCCTTTATAATATTTTATTTTTCAATATAAAGGACGTCTTTTGTCGTTTATTTCTTAAGCAGTCCTTTAAATAATAATATAATAGATTGGCGCTTACACATATGTTAGTGTTTGGCCGAGCTTCTCCTCCGATTTGTGGCGCGCGCCTTGATGTTGTCACACAAAGCAGAGGGACCTACAGTTTTACGCCGACTCCGAACGGCGATTGTATTTTTATGAGAAGCTGTTTTTCATGGCAGAAATACACTCGGAGATTTGCCATTGCCTGCCGAGGGACGACCGCTGTTAAGAAAAAACCTTTTTTCTATATTTTTGCGATGTTACTTTGACCAGGTTTTGAACCCAGGCATTGTGGAGTGGAAGTGCGCACTGCTTACCACTACACCACAGCGGCCGACAATATTTTTAAGCAGATAAGTAATATGAAAAAATAAAAATGTCCCTAATAAAATATAACGAAAACCTTCGCCAGTTTGTTTCGCAACCCCACTTAAGGGCTTTTATTTAATCGGAACTCTTTGTACAATCTATAAATCACGAATCATTGCTAATACTGATAGTTTAAATTTATATAATTGAAAAAAATTAACTAATATTTAGACATTTTCCCAGAAAACCTAATATGCTTTGAGTAAAATTCATTTTTCCCGAAATCACAGGGAAAGTTGTGCCCAGGATCGTGTGTGAATTATGATAAACTCATTTTAGCAGAAAAGAACGCGAAGTCCTTGATAAGGACTTAGTTCAATTTTTTGTACAATTAAAAAATATAATTTACTCGTAAATATTTGATTTAAATTACGATATGAGTAAGATACTTGTATTATACATACGGTGACCATCCGCCCTCTATTATACGGGTCAGTCCTCTTTTTTCGTTCTTCGTCCTGGTAATTTAACCGAGACATTCTGTAAGCTTTTTTCACGAAGTACTGGTAACAATCAGTGGAAGTGAAAGTGAACCGCTTCTGGACAGGAACGGACTTGCAGAAAATGTACTTCACGCTTTTGGGATTGCAAATATTTCGCCCAACACACCCGCAGGTTTTAGCTCTGTAACATTTGCTTGGCTTTATTAAAATATTTGAAAGGTTTTTTTTTTTGATGAATATCGCTCTCTGGCTGGCATTGGCTAACTTTCGAGTGAATTTCTCTCATGAAAAAGGCTTGCCATGAAAATAGTCTGCCGGTTGGAGGCGGCATAAAACTATGGGTTCCATAATTTGTATGATAACATCAACTCGGACGCCATAGATTGGAGGAAAAGCGCAGCCAAGAACTGTGGAATTCATTTGATTGATAAAGAAAAATAAATTTCTTGGACATCTTAAAGCAGAATCCTTCTTTAACATAGATATTTTTTACTACAGCCCCTTCCCAAATTTCTGACTTCTTTGCAGCAAATGTTGAACATTCTGTTTATGAGTCTCAAAAGCGTCCCATTGAAATCTACAGCTTCGCAAACTCATAGCACTCAATTTAGGTCAGCTTGCAAAAGAGGTGTCGATTATTACATGCATGCCAGCCAGTCAGGCGCAGAAGCGGAAGAACGGGTGGTGGAACTGTGCTGAGTGTTTGTAATATGACTATGTACTTTTAGGTAGTACAGAAGGCTACACTAGAGCCGTGTAAAATCGACGATTGCGCATGTTGGTGCAGTGTCAGCTCATTTTGTAAAGTGTAAAGAGGTGACTGTGTTCCTCCCACACACACACACACACACACACACTGGTAAATGGTTGCCGTTTCTACTTTTGATGGCGGCAAAGTCGATGTTGTTATTATCGCTTTTAGTAAGTCGCTTGGGGTGGCATGTTGACTTTGTGGCTGTAGTCGCAATAATATGCCACTTGCCAAAAATATTTGCTCATACGCATGTTCCATTGCTAATATCAGTAGCTGTATTCATACATACTCCGCAAGCGTGCGTTTGGGTGAGAGATAGTGAGCCTGCATGTGTGAATTTGACTTTTGAGTTCATTCAAATGAAATTTCCAAGAATGCAATAAAGGAATAAAATTGGACAAAGCGCTATGTCATATGCATTTCCGTCCATAGCCCATGGCCTGTGGTTATGGGTGTGTGCGTAGTATCCAGGGAACCGTGCATTATTGAGCTGTATAAAGTGTCATCAATATGGACCAATAACAACCAAATACGTGAAGCTGTTGTAGTCGACGCAACAACACAAAGGCATAACCATTGAGCAATCATCAACATCAGCGAAAATAAAATAAAAATACTTCTGTTTCATACGTTGAAGGTAGAAGTGGCAGAAATCAAATATATTTTTGTTGACTATGCAAATAGGAAACAAATATGTGAGAAAAAATACAAACCGTGTCCATGTTAGCGGTAATTTTGTCAAAGCAAAGTCATAGAATCATTTCCATTTGAATCATTTATGTTATACAATTTCTAGCGATTGGCCAAAGGAGTTTTTTGCCTTTTTTTTTTGATTTTAACTGATACCCGTACGAGGTTTACTTTAAAACTGATTGTCAGTTGATGTCAGTATGCAATAATGTGCCATCCCCTAGGTCGGGCGTGTAAGTGCAATTCGTTGAATTGACAAGCAGTGTCTTTCAATGCCAACTCAGGCAGTAATTACATGTAATAGCGATAGTAGAACAGGTCTAAAGAACAGGGATATAACAGTTATAAGTTTCATGGCAAAAACGATGCTCCATAACAGTTATTAGATGAGAAATATTTTTTATTTCGCCGATAAGAGTTAAAACCCAACGTTTACTTTTTACGTTGCCTGATAACTGCTATGCAGGAGAAATATTTTTTCCGTTGCCCTGATAATAGTTATTTTACAACGATTATTTTTTACGTTGTGTGATAAACGTTGTAAGATTAGGATATTGATGAAGATGGAGGTGGAGAATAAGATAAAGATGATGAAATAAAAGTGAGAGAGTGAAATAACTGTTATCAGATAACGTAAAAATAAACGTCGGGAAATAATTGTTATCAAGCAACGTAAAAAATAAACGTTGAGCAATAACTGTTATCGAGCAACGTAAAACATAAGCGTTGGGAAATAACTGTTATCAGCAACGGAAAAAATATTTCTCTCCTAATAACTGTTATGAAACAACGTTTTCGTTAAACTTCAGAATTCGGCCAACGTTTTCAATTTGTAAATTCGAGATAACAATTATTATATATATTATAAAACAAAATTTCAAAATCTTAAGTTATAATAAAAAAACTGAAAATCGGGATCGGACTTTGATAATCTTATGTTCGTAGAAATCTGGAAGTTTGTGTCTTTCTTTAAACACCCTTTTTAAAAATAGCTATTCCAGACCTTAATTGTACAAAAAATCTCTGAGTTATAAAGATTTATATTTCACCGACTGGAAGGTAATCAGCAAGGTAAAATTCAGTTAGGTGAGACCTTGGAAATCCTCTGAGTGCACTTTTTGTGGGCTTCCTAGGCAATGTACCGCTAATTCTCCTTAGTCAGAATTTTTATCTCCATGTAAGGGTTAAAAGGTAGTACGGAGAGGAGGCTGGTTTACCACCATTCGTAAATATTCACTTCTGGTGCAAATCACTTCTGAAACTTATATTGAGGCGATAATTGTAGGGCTATGTATATAATAATAACCACAATAGATTTTTTGGCCTGATGAATGGTTACTGCCTCGTTCGATTTCATCTCGTTAAACTAATAGCAGACCTCGAACAAGCACGAAGCCCGTCACCATTTAAGTTGTTTACTCCCAATTAATTCCAATTTGGCCCTAAACGCATGTTTTCTTGAGGTTCTTTGTCAGCCCTCGGATAGTCTTAATATTGTATTATATGACATACATATATATACAAGAACAATGCACTGCACTCTTAAATGAAGACAAAGAACCTGAGAAATTAAATTAATGGAAGCACACACTAATCATGAAAAAAAACACATTTAACTCTTACTAATATAGGGCGTAAATTGGCACAATGACCGAAAGACTGTATGAAATATCTATCCACCAAAAAATATAGAACCTTTTTCTTTTGTTGTTTGAGGGATTTTTCTACCGTTTTCTACCCAACCTATTTAAAGCTGTGTATATTAGGGTGATCGAATCGGTTTTTCCAAACCAGTTTCGCCCGGTGTTTTGAATATTTTAAGGCGGTTTTCTTGAAGTATTAATTGTTCGAATACCGAGTAAACAGAATTTTTAAAATCGAAAATGGAAGTGGACGATTTTTACAACTTTAATATCTGAATACTGTAAAATTTTTCAATGCAGAAAATTACTTCAAAAATAGAAGGAACACCTAAGACAAATTCTTCGCTGTTTGTCGTAGCCGCTTACTTAACCTTGTCTAAGTCAATGAGTCAATGAGTCGGCAGGCTCGGGTAAAGGGCAGATTCGACTGGTTTGGGCCGTAGCGAAAGGGATGTTAAATGAGCTGATGTGAGTGGGCATTTG